CTGTTTTCATGAAAATTTGTTGAAAAATTTTCTTCTTCTTGTTGGATGTTGGACAGAAATTGTATTCTTGGTGAAACTGTTCAGAAGCACGGAATTTAAAACCAGAATGGTAAGCCTGATGAAGAGGATGAAACTGATACTCAGATGATGAGGGATGGCAACCAAACCCATGAAAATGTAGTCACTTATTGGATAACCTTTCACAATTTTATTCAATATTTTTTTCGTTTCATTTTTTTTCTCTTCTCAAACTTTCAGTTGAAACAGTTTTAGGTTCAGGAGGAGGTGATTAACAACCAATAAAGATTATAATCATTTATTATTAGTGTTATTATCAAAATTATGTTTAAGGAGTGTTTTTATTGTACTTTTTATATGTTAAACGTTTTGCTATTCAATATTATCACAGGTTCATATTCAATTATTATCATAGTCATCAGTCTAATTTTATTATCCATAAATGTAAATGTAATTTACAATGTTTCAGGTTAACTTGTTATTGTTGATCATTAAAATTGATTATCAAATCAATATTCAAGTATCGCCACTTTGGCTCAATGTTCATCATTACTCATTTCTGATCAAAAATTGTCATTTCAACATTTTCCAAGACTTTGTTTTCTAAGAAAGTCAATCATTTTCCCAAGTTACTAGATTGCAATAAACGTCAATTTGCAATCAACGATCGCTGCATCTTCAAAACTATTTTGGTTCAAACATCGAAGACGATCCAATTTTTTTTCTACCCAAAATCGCATTTCAGAACTCTGTTGGTTTCTTATTTTTGATTTGAATATTTCAATCTGCAATTCGGATCAACTTAGAAATGCAAATATTACATTCAATCCGATTCTTCTGAACTTCAAATATTCTCAGGATTTACTTTTCCAGTCAAAAGTCAACTGAAAATCAATCTTTCTTTTGAAAGAATTTCCAATGAACACGAATAAAAAATGTTGAATTTAAATGTTCTTTTTCATGGCAATTTATAAAAATGCCAATATTTTGAACAATGAAAACACTTTCATTGAAAACTGAAAAATTGATTGAAAAATTTTCTAACAAAACTTTACTCAAATAAACACAAAAATGTCGTCAGTTTTAAAAACTTTCACCAAATCAGTTGATCTTTTTTATATAAACTAGACAAGTTTAATTGTTTTATCAGATTTTAATAGACCAAGGAAGAAGAAAGCATCTTAATGAACACTGTAATGATTGAATGAACTTGAATGAAAGATAAAAGGCAGTCAAGATACGCTCTCAATATGTCTTTGAAATGGGCACGCGACGCTTTACTTGTCCTTGTTATACCTGAATGTGTCAAAGTGTATCAATTATCATCATTGTTTCTTATCAAACCATTTACTCTCTTCTTATCTTCATCTTTACCATTCCTCTCAACCTGTTTCCAACTTATCTAACAACTTATGGTAACCTTGTAATTTAGTAACAACCAAACAAAAAAACACCAAAAAAAGCGAGTCCAAAATGAACTGAATACTAAGCATAAACCTTATGTTACTTCAACTACACAGCTTGATTTGTTTCACGTTACTCTTTACGCGTCTTTTGTCTTTACCTGGCCCACTCCTTAACCTTCTGTAAGTGACCTCTACACATCAGGTTATGGGTCATTTGCTTTTCGACCAAACAGATAATGTTAATGGATAATAATATAATAATAAGGTTTGTCCATGTTAATATTTTTTTCTTTCTGGTTTCTTCTCTTGTTGACCATTAAAAGAAAGCAAAGTTACCTGTTATTAAAGTTCAAGTTGAAAACAATACTTTGGCCACTCACTTTCCCCTTTACACCATCAATGGTATTTAAACATCTATAATCAAGGTGTTACCTTTGAATTAATAGTTGAATTACGTTTCATTGTTTTCCTTCCTTGCTTCCTTCAACTTGAGACATTCATTAATATTTTTCATTTCTCTTCTTCTTCTTCTTCTCTTCCCTTTCTAACCATTTCACATTTTAATAGGTTAACTCATTGGTATCATTATCATCATCATCATTACCATGTTAATAATAATCATTTGTCTCGTTCCCGTGTCACATACGAATGAACCAAAATTATTGTCATTTCTTTTGCTACTTCAACTTTTCCTTCTTTGCATACCTTTAATCAGTTTACTTTTTAATTACACCTTTTACCTTCTCATTTTAAATACAAACATATGTAAAGGTGTGAATAAATACCTCAAAAAATGGGTAAACATGGAGGCAACTGGATAAGGTTAATGTAAAGGTAAAAATAAACACAAGCAATTGAAGATGAACAGAAAGACATTATCATTATCAAGAGCAAGTAATAAGTGCTTGTGAACAGTAGCAGTCAGTTGAGTGCATTAGATGATGAACCATCCTAAATGATGTTCATCATGAGAAGTTACAAGTGATTCTTGAGACACAAAACAGTTTATCCAGGAAAAGATAAATTCAACAAAAAGCTCATTCAAATTGTAACATCTTTAATCTTAAGTAAAGGTAACAATTTTGACCAAAATTTAAGCCACTTTACGAGTAAAAAAGGATAACAATATCTTTACATTGTCAAGTAACTTCACCATTTAATTGGTCCATTCTTTGCATATTGAATGGTCATTCAAACTACTAGCATTGTACATTACTTGGTCAACAGAGTCAATGATAGTTATTAGTAAATATTTTGAATGCAGCTTTACATACCTTGAAGACTGTCCAAGACTTCAAAAGTCATCGTCCCAATCAAAGTCTGTATCATTTCACTATCGATTTGGACACTTTTACAATGAGATACTTTCATGTTATTCATCATTGAATGATGAGCGTGATGGGCGAAACTGGTTGTATCAATTCAACTCGTGTTTCAATTAGTTATTAGAATTAAGTTCATTAGTCATTTTTGTCTGAAGCCTTTGATGCTTGGTTCATGTGTGATGCTTGTTCAGATTCCTTTGATGCTGTAATATTAGCGTAGCTTGAAAGATAGAAAATCTAAAGAATTATCTCACTGATTGTTACTTGAACAATTGATAGCGATGAAAATGATCAAGATAAAGATGATTAGGAAAAAATATTGGCATAATGACGCCAATCAAATTAAAAATGTTCAAATTATCAACATGATAATGATCATGAATAAAATTTATTAATAATTTTTGATAGACATTTTCCTATAACATTTAGGTGCAATAGTCTTGAAAGTATGATTTCATGAACTTAAAAATAAATTATTAATACCGAGACTTTTTATGATCGATGTCGAGATGGTCAAATTAATAATTAGTGTATTATAACGAATTTTAAAGACTATCTAGAAAGGAGTAAGAATAAAATCTGATGATTGGGGAAAGAGTGATGATTTAGGTGATACTGTTCTTGAAATAGTGAGGTTCAAAGTTTTCGATCGTTGACCAACAACAATGTTGTGTACCAACAATTTCTATCTATTAACATGTATTAACATTATCTATTAATAAGTTTCATTTCTCTATTTTTTACGGTTCCAGAATGCGGTCAGTTCAACTGAAAATCAAACTTATCTGTTCTACAAAAACTGAAATTTTTCTCAAAATAAGAGCATTTTCTGGTTAGCAATCAGAAGTTACATCATTAAAATGAGTTTCATGCAAAAAACTGCTTCCGTAATTGAACAAAAGGCGGTCGAAGCTTCAACCTTGAGCTCATTTTCTCGAAAACTGTCGATTGGTGCAATTTTTAATAATAGATTTGAAAAGAGCATAAAAAATTCAATTAAATGAGATCTTAGTTTAAAAATATATGAAATAATTAGAAAATTATTATGAAAAAATCAAAATTTGTATTTCATTTCTCCGAATCTTTTATTTTCCTTTGCAAATCAGTTCAAGTTTACTAAACGCTGAAGTTATCCAATGTATGCAATAGTCTGTCGACTGATAGACTATGACAAATCAAAGAGTGTCAGTTTCATGTCTGGACACTAAATTAACATTTGAGGTTAATTTAGTGTCTTCACTTTAAGATGTTAGCATTGTTAGGTTAATTGATTAAGCTTGTCTTCTTAAATCACTTTAAATTGAATTCATTGTTCAATTTCATGCTCTGTTAAAAACCTTCAATTCTTACTCAACTCATTATGTTATTAAATGAATGCAATATTAAATTGAATTAATTTTTTTATTTTCACACATCTTTTGTTTTTGCAAATAAAAAGATAAATGTTGATCTTAAATTGACCAGCAATTCACTCACTTTTGGTGTGCTTTGCCTCAGTTGTTGCACTTGAACTGCGCTTTTAGGCTTTTGATTGAAGTATTTCATTATTAGGTTTATTTACAGTCATACCTATTTCAATGTAAATTTATGAAAAAATTAAGATTCGATTAAAAATTCCTTACTCAGTTACAAGAACTTGTGATCAGTTATTATGGCCTGTGTTTGCCCATTTTGATGCCGTCTGCTTCTTTTCACTATCAATTTGGACCTTTTTCAATGGGAGTTAAACTTTCATTTTCATCATTTAATTACAAGCATGATAGGCAAAACTGAATTGAATTGAATTTTGTTTTAGCGAATTGATTAGAATTCAGTTCATTAGTTATTTTCGTTTAAAGGATTCGATACTTGGTGCATTTGTGATATTTGTCCCATTCTGTCCCATGATGCTGGAATATTAATAGAATCAAGAGAATTGCACGAAAGATTAAACATCTAGAGAATTATCTTATTGATTGTTACTGAAACAATGAACATGAAGAAAATGATTGAGATAAAGATGCAGGGGGAAAGATTGACATAAACGCCAATCAAATTAAAATTGTTGCAATTATCAACATGATAATAATCATTATTCAATTTTCGATAATCATGTAAACTTCCATATTGAGACAATTGGCTCGAGACCTGGTGACATTTTTGATCCCCTGATTATCTAACCAGAATATCAAAATAGGCGTTTATCATATGATTTTACGGAGCAAAACAATCCTTGAAGATTGAACATTTCATTAAATTGAATAACTATAAATACAATTAGTTTTTCCGAATAATTCATCACAAATCTCCACAACTGTCTAACTATCTCAGTTAACCTAATAATATTGTCAACTCAAAATCGTTGTACATCATTGAAAATGTTCAAACTTGTATTACTTGTAACTCTTTTCAACATTGCCTATGTTTCCACTCATTCAGAGAGACCTGGAAAATTCTTGGAACATGATCGATCAATAGTCAACTGTGCCCGATACAAGAGAGAAGCCAATCAACACACCTGTGTCCTCGCCCCATTCGCAACTGAAGGTCCATACTTCTTAGCCGATGACTTGGAACGATCTGACATCACTGATGGTCAAACTGGAGTTAACTTGGACTTGAATCTTAAACTAACCAACGCTAAAGATTGTTCACCTTTATCCGGCTATTTCGTTCACATTTGGAACGCCAATGCTTTGGGACACTACTCAGGTGTACAAGAATTCAATAAGTTTCCTAAACAAACTTTCCGTCCAAAACCAATCTACGATACAAGATGGCTTCGTGGTTATCAAGTCACCAATGAAGATGGTGAAGTAAACTTCAAGACAATCGTCCCTGGTTGGTATTACGGTCGTTGTCTTCACATTCATGTTGAAGTTTACTCCAAAAATACAACCGACACCAACGCAATCACCTACATTGGACAACTTTACTTCAAGAGAGAATTGCCTGTTCAATTGAAGCTGGTCGAGCCTTATTCAAGCAATCAAAATGAGTTGAAATTCAATGAACAAGACAAAGTCTTCAATGGAATGCATGGAAATGACACCATTACCGAGTTGGTCTTCGAAGAAAACAATGCAAAGACTAGTTTCATTCTAGCACTCGATCCAACAGTCACTACTTTAACAAACGGAACCGTTGTTAATTAAGAATGTATTGACCTAAACTAATATTGATTTAAATAAAAGTATTATTCTTCAATTGTGCAATTCGTTTATTCATTTCAACTGATTCTGAAGTTTAATGTTGTCTAGATGTTCATTAATCTCCGGAAGAAAACTGAAAGGAAACCATTCTTTCATCAAAATTTGTTGCTCTTAATGAAACATCTTCTTGCAACGATAATAGCTGTTTGTTGTAACATTTTCAGGGCCATTTTGAATCATTTAGCTTTACATAATTTCAACATAATCATCATAAGCCAAAGGGCATAATTGACAGGTAAAGAAGCAGGTAAATGAGGCCAAAATTGAGGAGGAAAACTGTTGACTTGGTTATATTCACAATGCAATTTAAGGTTAGGCTTTATTAAGTTTATTAAATAATTTTAAAATTTGAAACAAAAAGCCAAATTATTACCAATTATTGAGGAGAAAAAAATGAACAAGAAAAAAGCCCAAAAAAGCAGATAAAAGATTGAAGTAAGATCCATGACTGAGCAATTTCCAGAGCATCCAATGATTGTTGGATTGGTAATGAAAAAGAAGCCAAAAGATTGTTGATTCGTGATTTAATCACGGTAATTATTTTACAATTTGGACAGACTTTTCTTTGCAACAATTTTGCTCAAATTAACTATAATAATGATCATCATTTCCATCATCATAATGATCATAATGATCACAATCATTATCAACTTTGGAACCAGCGAAAATGAAGAAATGCAAAATTATTAAACAAGGTAAAATTTTGGTTAAATTGTTGTTAAACTAAAAATGTTGATAATCTAATTGGCAATAAAAATATAAGCGCAAAAACATTGAACTGAATATACAAAAGTTATCAACAATTTTTGTTACAAGTTTGCCAAAACTCATTTTCAATTGAGTAAATTACAGTTGAACCTTTTCATGTTTCAGGTAATAAAAGGTAAAACAAAGTAATAAAGTTTTTCTCAACACACAAACTGAACAGATTATATTGATCAATGAATGATTAAAAAGAGACAAAAGTATTGAAATAATTTCTCATTATTTATGATTAAACAAAGTGCTTTGAAAGTTTATTTAAAAATGGAAACAAAAATGCGTTAATTTCAAGTAAAGATATTAAATTATTGTTTATGTTCATTGATATCATGATAATCATGATGTTCATGTTTACAGATTTGTTTCTTTGGGAAAGAAAAGCGCTTTTTATAAAAATAAATTCAAGTTTTATTGCTTTTCCTCTTCAATATGTATTAATATCTTGAACATTCATTACCAATAGTCAAATTAGCAAAGTTGTGTTGAAAAGTTTCCAAAAAAGATTTAAATTCCTTTTACTCTTTACATTTAATCGGTTCGAGAGCCACACTGGATCCATTTGATAGTTTAATTATTTTTGGCAAAACAACAACAAAATGGTTTAACAGTTTGCACAGTTTGTTGGACTTGATGGTGATACATTATGAGTTATGCTTTTATTGAAAGGTTATGTTGATGGCTGATTATTGCCGTCGACAGGTTTATCATTGTAAGAAGTATGATGAGGATGGGGATGAGAAGGAAAGAGAAGAAAGGTGATTTTGAGGAAGAAGCTCTCTTTTTTTCTTCTCTTCGCAGCTTTACCACTTTGTGTTACTACTTCTTACTGAGCTGTCATCAAGTTTTACAATCAACCTTGTCTCTTGAAAAATCAGCAGGAGGTGAACAATCAAGAGAAGGAGAATGATGATGAGATGAAGGAGTAGTAGGAGGATGAGGAGGAGGTTGAAAGGGAGGGAAAAAAGGTGGATGAAGGAGGCAAAAATGTTGGTGTTAAAATGAGTAGTAAAAGGTGGTTGTAATAGATGAAGCAAGAGGATAATTTTGTCAATATTTTGTGATCATCGATCGATTCGGCAACACTTTTCCAGCTTCTAACCTTTTTCCCAATGAAAAGATGTTATTCAATTTAAGCAATGGAAAACTCAGAGAGAGAGAGAGAGAAAAGAATTTTTTGGAAAAATATTTTCATGCAAATTTCATCATTTCAACTTTTCTTTCCTTTGCTTCACTTTGCACTGAGAAAAGGTTGTTACTCTTGAGTGGTAAAGTTTTACTGCTACTATTACAAGGGTATTATTACAACCATGAATGGGGTTAAATGGTCATCATTTAGTGAAACAATTTTGTCTCTTCCTTTTTGCCGTCTTTTGAAGACACTAATGAAACACTGGAAACCCTTGAAACTGAGCAGACAATTTTAAGGTTGAAAGATTGACTTGTCACAATTGTAATAATAACAAACAAAATAGTTTGATTCACCAAATTAGACCAACTTCAACAAGGTTTCACTTTCACTTTTATCCTCACTTTGACTACTTATCATCTTTTATTATGATGATGCTTATTATTATTATCATTATTATCCTCTGTTACTTTCCTCTCATCATCATATATCTTGATACTATTATGATGATGATCACTCTCTTTAGCCTCTTTCATTTACTGATGATAAAAGCTTTTTTCTCTTTTCCTCGCTTCTTCTTCTTTTACCAGTGAAAATGGTAAAACACAACAGTTGACATGAACTTTTTTTTCAATCATTTCTTTATTCTTCCTCCAATTCTTCAGCTATAATTTATGATCATCATTTTCGTGAGTAATGATAATCTCAGTGAATCTCTTTCGTGTTCAAAAAGATTCTTGATAGCTCACCAAAAGCCATCAAATTTACTCTCATCTTGTGTCACCTTAAGTGGCAAATCATGAAATTTCATTAAATTGCATCCATTAACCATCGATTTAACTACTTTTAACTTCTCGAGTTAATCTTGTTCAAACATTCAAAGTTCTAAAAATGTATTTCAAACCGAAACTCAGCAACAACTGAACTTCCGAGCCAATTTCTTTCAGAACCAGAATCAGAAAGCATCTATTTATCTTTGACATCAAGTCAGTTTCCGTTGACTTTTCATTTCAAAGAAACCCATAAATTCTCAAAGAACCTCATTCCATCTCTGAGATATTCAGTAAATGTTGATCTCTCGACGAAATCTCATTCGATAATCATCCAAAATTAGATTCTTTACCTTAGCATAGTGACTCGAAGTGCAACTTAATCACGAACTTCTGAATTTACATTCTAACTCAAAATCAAGAACAAAACTCTTTTAAAACTATTAATGAAAGCAAATGTAAAAACGAAAGTAAATATTGTGTTGAAAAACTTTGCCTTGAGCTAAACTGTATCACTATTGAGGAATTGTTGACCAAAATTTAAAATTGTTGTAATTCTTAGCCTTAACTAATCAAACAATGTGATGATTAAGTTAATTTAATTTACTGAGAATGTCGATGAATGGATTGAGGCAGAAAAAAACACTGGAGTTGCATCAAAACTGAATGGCAATAAATGTCAACAGCTTTAAATTGTTGATGATAATGGTTAGTAATAAGCAGTGATGATGACGAAAAAATGAAATAAATTCAACTGAGCTATTCAACTGTTAAATCAATGAAACATAATGGCTCCTCATTTTAATAGTGTTGAGATCAAATATGCTTTTTGCACCATTATTTAATATATTATACTTGTTATTACATTATTTTGATTTTTGCTGTTAAATATTTTTACTCTTTTCCATTGTTGCCTTTTATTGAATAACATTTTTTACCATCAACATTCTCGTTCGCCATTCACTTGCTCTGTATTAGCTCATCATCATCATGCTCATAATCATCATTATCATCATCTTCTCCTTCTCTTATTAAATGTAATTTACTTTGATTCCATTAAATTCCAGTTGATAATCAAATTGTTTCCATCCCATTCAACATCCCAACAACAAAGGCAACCTTATTCAATATAAACTCTTAACATCCCATAACCAAAAGAAATGTTAATCACAGTAATAATGGTTGAAATGCTTAAGGGATAGCAAAATATTTAACAGGTTCTGACATCAAAATTAACTATAAAAACCTTTTACGGTCTCAACAGTTTGGTGAGATTGGGTGGCCGACAAAAAAACACAAATTTGGACAAAAATTTATAAAACTTTGCTTAAGACTAAAGCGTTTTATATGGGAATATTGAGAGCTCTTCAGCTCAGAGATGTCGAGATGTCGCTCAGAGAGGATTGTAAATCAACAAAATTTCATTACATTTTCTGGTATTCCTGTCATTTCTTGCTATATAATTGTCAAGTTTAACGTTACAATAGTTTACTGTTTTTAGCTTTGAAATATTGGAGGAAATTTATTTTTGTCAACATCTTAGAGATGCAATGTTTCATTCAATTGTGAATTGATGCTTTTAATTGAGAGCGACTTCAATCCAAAAACTCACGAGAATCTAGATAATTTTGAACTAGAGATTTATAATGAAATGTTTCCATGATTGAACGTTTTTGTTAAAATGCGAAAGTCTTCATCAATTTACTGGAACCAAATTGTTAGTGTAACTTCAAGGATACGACATTATGAGACCGTTTCTGATCGAGCTTCTAGATTCTGATTATTTTACAAATGGTTAAGGTTATTCAGAGATTGGTCTTATTTATATAATAAGCAAGGTGAGAAGATCCCAATGTTGCACAGAAACTCCGTGTTATATTTTACTTTATCCTCAACTCTTAATTTGTTGCCTTTTCATGTGTATTGTAACTCATGCTTGTAACAAGTTTAATGTTGAAAAGATGAAGTCAACCTAAAACAGGTACTTTAAAGTCCTGACCACAGCCTTTTTGTCTGCACAAAATTAACTTTCACCCTTATTAGCATCCAATTAGAGTTGAGCAGTTTTTTAAACGATGAAACCAACACATTAATAAACCTAATTTGTGAGAATTTTTCTCTTTTCTCTCGGAAATTTTCTTCAAAATAACAAGTTTTTTCAGCCGAAACGGATTTGCATTGTCCAAGTGGAGATGAAAAGATTTTAGACATTTTTTGCTTTTCTTTTTGGTGAGAAAATGTCAGTTGCAAAAGTATCAAAAGTTCATCAACTCTGCTTCTTGAATTATCAAATTAAGCTTCTATGAAATTGAGCAATTAATGCAAAGGCGACATAAA